ATTGACGAAAAAAGGCTTTTTTATGGAGAAATCGACGTTTTAAAAAAACGGAGTCATACTACAGTCCCAGTCCACAATCCAGATTTCACACTCCAGTCCTTAGTATGTATCTTGATTGACAGATGACAAAAAAGACTGGACTTATGAACCTGGACTAAAATTTTGGACTGGAGAACGGAGTATGGATCCGTTTTCGCAAATATTTGTATTTTCAGACCCTGTTCAAAATACGTTTCTCGATGCGCTGATCATTTCTATCTCGGTGTCAAATGACATTTTGAAAAAAGTTAATACACCACGCGTGGGCATTTATTTTTTAATTTTTTTTTTTTTTTTTAAAGTTTTCGAAGGCGGTCCCTAACCCTAACCGCAAGGTGACAGGTCTTGTGGTAATACCTCTGCCGCCACAAATACCATGGTGAAGACAAATGTAACACCAAACGGCTATTTGGGAAGCGAGATAAACACCAGCAAGTAGGAGGAATGATTATGGTAATACCTCTGCTGCCACAAACTCTATGGTGAAGACAAGTGTAACACCAATCAGAGACTTGAGCAGCGAGGTAAACACCACAATGGAGTAACAGGAATATGGGAACAGCATATTAATAATGACATACTAACACATATATATATATATATATATATAGTAGCACATGAATAATATTAAAAGTATAAATAAATGTAAACAATATTATAACTAGAAGTATTTCTCAATGTAAACTTATGGAAAAGATGCTCCATATAGTAAATAATAATCACCGAGATCGAAAAAAAATTTTAAAGATTTTTTCCGAATTTTTAAAGACATGTTCCAGTTTCCAGTCCAAAATTTTATCAATCCAGTTTTCATAAATCCAGGTTTTCGTATAGAACTTTCATGACAATATAAGGACTGGACTCATATAAACTGGATTCATATTTTTCAAGTTTGTTTTTTTTATTTATTTTTTTTGTTAGGGTAATTAGGGTTAGGGTTAGGGTTAGTTTTAAATGTTGTAAATGGGGCTAATTCGAGATTCTATTCCAGCTATAATGTTTTAATTATACACTGTCACTGATTGAAAATATTAATAATATACATATATCAAACAGAATTACATGGACAGTAAGTCAAAATTATGGAAATAGTAGGGGAGCTGGTAAAAGAATTAGGGGAGGTGCAGCAATGTAGCTCAAGACTCCCACGGAAAGTTATGGTTTAGAACGGGCCAAAGTCATCGACGTGACGTATGCATGCACTGTACATCACAAGGCATTTTATTAATACCATGGACTGGTGCCCCACCACTGAAGAAAAAAAAATGGCCTATTGCCCCAAAGCCCAGGGTCCTATCTGTATTGAGTAAATGAGTTTAGCATTGAAAAGAAGTTTAAAAAACAAAATTTGTTGGTGATTATACTTAAATTTATGTTGTGCTTGAATGTTTAGCATGCAATTTATTACAAAATTCACCATTAGAACTTCGTTCTGAGAAGCTGAGATTTTTTTTAAATGTGTTCTCAGAATGCAGGAGATGCTATTTCAGAGACCCAAATTTTAAAAATTTCCTGTGGGGCATGCCCCCAGACCCTCCTAGCTAACTCGTGCCTGCGGTACTCGGCTCACACCTTCGGCGATTGCATACTATCCTGGGGAGAGGCCCTTTGGCAGTTTTGCCCCACCACTGAAGAATCCTTAAAAAATGCACTGACTGTACAACTCATGATTTTGCACTTTATTGAATCGCTATTAATGTTTCAATTTTTGCAAAACGATCTCAGGGGAGGTGCTTCATTCCTGTCTGTAATACAAAACTCTATCAAAATCAAACGCGCGATTACACGACAAAATTTTCAATTTGAACCCTGTTTCAACAATTAGGGGCCACGAAAAATTTTTTTCATCCGGGGCCGGAGATAATGGGATTTTCTCAGGCCCAGGGGTACAATAAATTTTGCATTTATTATTTTCCATTTATTTTGATAAGTGTAATATACAGATATGACACAGAATTATATGGAAAGTAAGTCAAAATCAGAACAATTGCAATATGAAATGGAAATGTTTTTCCTTTGAATTTCTTATTCTGCAGTACGGTAAGCTCACTCCATTATTTTAAATAGATCAGTATGTATAACCTGAATCTGCCCGCAGGCAGTCAGCCCTCGGCGTCTGCTAAAAAATTTGCTGGAGAAAGGCTTTTAAATTAATAAATACATTCGAAATTTCTTTTTATGTAAAGTTGTGCAGAACTATAAATGGACTGGAATCAGTTCCAACTAACTGGTAAGCTGGCATCGTTTGAGTTTCATTTAGAAAACGTGAAAAACCTCTTTAGTTTAGTGTTGTTGATTTGAATATTTGTTTACATTTTCCTGCTTGGCAGACAAAACCACGTGGCAAGCAAATATAGTTTGATTTTATTTTATTATTGAAAGGTCTTTGTGAATGATTCTTATCAGTAAAAGCATCGTATTCAGGTTTATTAGTGATTAAATGTACCCGAAAGCGGAGGTTGGTTTAGTAAAAGTTTACTAAACCAACCGAGGCTTGAGGGAGATTTCACCCAACTTTTATTACTGCCAGATGATTTTACTCGTATAATATATATAATTATAATCACTAATTAACTGTAATGCCAAGACCTAATTATTTTTGTATTTAGACCTTAATCATCCCTTGCAAAACAAAGGTATAGCCATGAGAAAATCTATTTATATAGAGAATAATACATGGGTGCATGGAAACACCAGATTTATTTCGAGTGTTTAACATGATAGTGCACGCAGCGAACGAGTGAGATATCATGTTCAACACGAGAAATAAATCTGGTACTGTATTTCCAAGCATCCATGTATTTTTCCTGTTGACTGTTGAAAAGCGATAATTTTTGCATGCAAAAGTGTTTATCAGTGCTTAAAATCTCTATGAAGCACTATACTTTATATATTAAATTATATTATTTATAGCTTTGGCGAGTTAGCCCACCTCAAAAAGTCTCATGTAAACACAGGATGAAATCAGCTTGGCAAAGCAAGCTAGCTTGTGTATCCACTGTTTATCCCCTATACCATCAAGTTGTAATGCCAATGGTATAATCTTGTGTTCATAATTACATTGATTACAACTTGTATCGTTATCTATGTGTAATGTCAACTGATATAATAAGTGTCAACATATGAAGTCTTTGTTCAGCTTCTTTTGTGTTCATATTTACATAAACTAAAACATTACTTAACTTAAGGTGGCTCCCTACAGTTTACTAGAAAATGGAAGATCTCCGATTAAGACCCAATTTTTCAAACGTTCCTATTTGTTAAAAGTCTGACTAGCCAAATAATAACTAGAGAGTTGTATTTTTCCACCAAAGGGAATCGTAACTACCGTTGTTATGGCAACATTTACGATCCAAGTAATTTAACTTGAAGATAGGGTCGGTTAACCCCATTTTTATTTCATAAAAAGAAGTCGTTTATTATTAGTATTTTGAATAATTTTTATGATTTTAAAAAATTCTGTTATGCGAAAGAAAATTATTACGAATTATTACATTTTCCGATCTTGAAAAACTTTGGCATGACATATTTTTTTAAATCATGAAAATGATTCTGAAAGGTCATTATGCTATAGAAAATAAAATGGGGGTCACCAACTTTATTTTCGAGTTATATTACTTTAAACCCAGCTTATCCACCATATTGAAACGTCATTGTTGCCACAGCAACGGGTGTTAGAAGTAAGTTTTTAAAAACTTAAAAAAATTCTTTAGGTCAGGTTTTATTCAAGTCGGATGGTCTTTGTTTTTCATCAAATAATTATTGTATGTCCAGAAATTCATGTCCAAATCAGAAAGCTTCCATTTCTTAAAAAAGTATTTGAATTTCTAAGCTCATTAAAAAAAAACAACTTACAGAATGAGAATGTCACCATGCTTTCCAACAGTTGGAAAGCATGGTGATAATTAACCCACACTGCAAATGTCTCGTTTCACTGCAAATTTATAACTGCAATCCAGTAAAAAGTTCACTTGCAAAAAAACTTGCAAATTGTGAGAATGTCAATTGATCAACAGAGCCAACAGTTGAAAAGCATGGTGATAATTAACCGACACTAAAAATGTCTCGTTTTACTGCAAATTTATAACTGCAATCCGGTAAAAAGTTCATTCGCAAAAAAAACTTGCAAATTGTGAGAATGTCAATTAATCAACAGTTGCAAAGCATGGTTGGGAAAAGTATATAACTGCGCACTTAGAACTGCATGAAATGTCTCACGGGGAAATTTTCATTTGCTTCCCAAGGTAGAGCGTTGTGCATCAGTCCAGTTACAATCGGGAGAGTTAAGGAGAAATCTGACAATGCTAGATATTTCACCACCAAAGCAACCTGGTTTCTCCCGCTCTGCCGCTATCCAATAATTCCTCATGCTTCCGTAGTTGGTAAAGATTTCTTCCGAGTTGACACTTTCTTGCAGGTCAATCTTAGCGACAAGGACAAGCTGTTTTCTGACAACTTTGTACTCGGCATTGCAAGCGGCATCTATCTCAGCTTCGATTGCTTTCCAGTCGTTTTCATTCATACTCGGCCGAGGTTTTGTCGACATTTCTTTGATGCGTTGCAGAGCAGGGAGGACATTTGGTTGGTTCGCATATCTACCAAGGTTATTGCCGGTCGCATCTTCAGCATCGTACGTGCCTTTACTTGTTTCCAGCATGTACATGTTCGAGCTCTGAGATTGTGCCAATTCTTCCGGTGCGAGCGGTTGTTCAGCATACAAGCAAAGATGAGTTCCTCGTTCGACGAACTTGTGCGGTTTCAAGAACAGGCCATATCCAGCGTTTGGTATGGTACTTTTCGCCCGAAAACAGAGAGTTTCCATGCTCAGCGGACACTTCACCATGCGAAAGAAGAACAAATCATTGTCTTGACTGTCCGGCCATTCGTCATCGGCTTCGACTGGTGGTGCGCGCTGTTTAGGCTTCCACGAAACTGCTGGGTCTGCCGGTACGTTAAGGATGGGACGGAACTCTTTGTACATGTCAGGGTTTTTTTTTAGGCCTTGACGAAGTTCCCACGGGCGAAATGGATAACAGAACAGCTCTTCGGGCAGATTAAACATACCTCTTTTTTCGCGTTTGGCACTTCTCATTGCGTCGTCGATCCGCTTATCAATACCTGTCGTGTAGAAAGACATTGTATACCCTTCTAAAGCCAACTTGCGGGACAGTGCTTCTCTCCTCTCTCTGCCGTCGCCGTCGCCATATCCAAGCCAGACGTCCGTCAAACGCCGACCGTGGACATCCATAGGAGCAGAAGATGATGCAAGCGATGCATCGCGATCGACTTCCACGTAGATGCTTCGAGCCTCAGAAACCATTTGACGTGCAGCCCTTAGAGATTCTATGCCAATGTGCCTCGTGGCAAACGTATGTTGTGAAATCGTCGGGTCGTCGCCGCTTTGTTTATATATACGTACGGAATGACAAGTTTCAGGTGCATCTTGATTTGGAAGGCGAATTTTAACCTTGTTCAGGCTTGTTCTCATCTTTCTGATCGCCTCAAGCGTGTCATCATCAATGGTGATTTCGCACGAGTCGCCATCGTACAGGTGGAAATTATCATGCTGAACTTTCGCTAGTCGAACGCCATCTGCTGCTCGTGGTAAGATCCAAGACAAGGGTAGTGGGTTGTCCAACTTTCTTTGTTGCAGAAATGGTTTCATATAACGATTGACTGCTTCGTATACTTGAGTTGGACTGCCCAGGGATATCGTTGGGGTGCTAAATGAGTTGGTCGCATTGGCAAAATAGTAGGACATATTCAATGTTGCAGCGCTAAGACCCTTGTACTTATTTCGAAGATACTGAGCGTGGATTTCAGATCGACTGCAGTGCATCGGTCTGTCTTTAAACTTTGGTGCTGCAACATCCTGATCTTGCGTCTGGCCCTTTTCACGATTATCGTAATACCTATACAAGCAGTGTCGATAATTAACTAAAAACGGCCCATTAAAGTGCTTTTATTAACCAAATCGTAAGCATTCGTTTCAACGTTTAACTGACGTTTCTTAAAATAGATATGTGCTCTTTCATATTTGCTTTACGATCTTTGGAAATGCATGAGAATTAATTTATAATAAGGTGGCTCATTACAGTTTTTATAACATTTAGATATTTTTGAAATAAAATTTTGGTGTCACCGATATCGCTTTCGAGTTAAATGACTTTACACGTCATTTTTGCGGCCATCTTGAAACGTCATTTTTGCCATAGCAACGACCGTTGTGTAAGTTCTGTCCGAAAATACGGATCTAAATCGCTGTATTGAGCAACCTTGAAAGTGCACCTGACCTCAATTCTTCCAACACCTCATTCCTAAGAACCTTTGAAATAATATTATATATATATATATATATAAGCTAATTCAAAAAAGGTTGTCCTTTGCAAACCTCAAACTCTAAACCTTAAACCTTAAACTCTAAGCGCGCAAAGCATAATGGGAGCACTATTTAAGCAGTTTAGAAAGCATATATGGAGCCCATTTCTTAGAGACATGGTAAATATGTGCCTGCGAAAACATTTCACTCACAAACAACTGCAATATTCAACTAACAAGCTTGATATCTGTACTCCCATTATGCTTTGCGCGCTTAGAGTTTAAGGTTTAAGGTTTAGAGTTTGAGGTTTGCAAAGGACAACCTTTTTTGAATTAGCTGTATATATATATATACAGCCAATTCAAAAAAGGTTGTCCTTTGCAAACTCTAAACCTTAAACCTTAAACTCTAAGCGCGCAAAGCTTAATGGTAGCACAAGTTTCAAGCTTCGTAGTTGAATATTGCAGTTATTTGTAAATGAATTGTTCTTGTAAGAAGATATTGACCATGTCTCTAAGAAATGGGTCCCATATGTGATTTCTGAACTGATTAAATAATGGTCCCATCATGCTTTGCACGCTTAGAGTTTAGGGTTTAAAGTTTAGAGTTAAAGGTTTGCAAAGGGCAACCTTTTTTGAATTGGCTATATATTTGCACACTTTGTCTCTGAGTTATTTCAGTTTTATTGATATGCTAATATCCGGACTTTACGTCACATATGAATAACGACTGATCGAAGAATGTAAGGTACAGTTAAATATCGCGAAATAAAAAGGCAAAATAGTGCATGTTTTACATAGGTATACGTAATATGTAATACTCCCACAACTCCGAACTTCATTTTAATGAATTAAACTCGATAGTGAATAGGATATACAAGCTTTCACTTTAAATCATTATGCATTTGTGACGTATATTCCTAATATTTACATACCGAACAAACTGAAATATCTCGGAAACAAAGTCAGCAAACAAAAGTCGTCGAAATAAGTTATTATATCATTTCAGAAGTTCTTAAGAATGAGATGATAAAATAATTGAGGTTAGGTGCACTTTAATATAGGCTGTTTTTAGTTAATTCTTTACACTTTCAAAAATGTTTACTCAAATTTAAGCGCATGTATTTCGGTAAATATTGGATGAAAAGCATGCACACTGTGTAAAAAAAAATTATTATACACTGTGGTCACCACGTGTCTTCTTACATAACTCAATTATCTGCTAGCAGATAACTGAGTTATGTGTTGGTTGAGCCCGCGGTATGTAATATACAGCAGGCGACAGTTTTAAAAACATGAACGAAAAGCGTTTTTGTGAATGTTTTTTGTATACAGAAAGCAGACCTTTTTGACATGTGATATTTTAAATGGTTTCACTGCTCTTTTTTAGTACCAAACGTTGTTTTGTGCGACAAATCATTGTTTGTCGAAAGATTTATTAATGAAAATTCAATGTATAATAAAACATGTATTGGATGAGGTTGTAGTGATATCCCGAATTTTCAAGGTAAGTGTTTTTCAATGTAAGTGTTATCAATCCCGCCTTCGGCTTCACTGATAACACTTACCCTCAACCTTGATAGTCGTGGATAACTGTTTAAAATTCGACATTATAGTAAATGATAGGAACCTGGTGTGAACGTAATAGGTCTTTTAAATAAACACGGGAACTTTTTGGCAAAAAATGGCCCTCTATTTCGTAGCGTTATCTTCAAACAACAAAATCAGAGGCAGCGTTGATTATATTGACACTCTCACACATTGCAGATTCGCCTTCTCAAGGCTGCATTAGATCAATATTTTTCCAGTTGAAACAACTACCATTATATAAGTGAGACATTATATAAGTGAAATTGGAAGGGGTTGTACCAATTGCCCTTTGTAATTCGGTGTGCTGCGTTACGAAGAGCAAATGGGACAATGTACAGGGAGGGAAAGTATTTAAAAATCCTGCGTGCGAAAGAGTGGAGACAACTCTCCCATCCAGAATTAATCGAAAAATATTTTGCGTTAATTTTCTGTATAATTTCTTGTTTTAGTGCCATGCATATTCAACAACAACGTGAAGGAAAGGATAACGTTGTCGTTCGTTTTTTCTTTTATTGGAGCGTTGTCCATGTATGCTTTACACAGGTCTTGTAAAGTAAGTAGAGGAAATTTGGCAGAGCATAGTTGAATTGCAAAACATGCACATTTTTGCTCGGGACTTATTAGAACACGACTTCAAACATACGCGAATTGAATGTTGAAATTTCTACTCAAATTATTTCCGCAATGGTTGCGTGTTTTGAGCCCGTTCTCCACTCGGCGAATTTGTTTGCGCGAAGCGAAAACCAAATTTCGGCAATATGATTGGTCAGCGAAAAAAATAGCAGTGAAAAAGTTGAATCAGTTTCTACTTTTTTTACTTGTCGCGCGACCAAATTTGCCTAGTGGAAAACGGGCTTTAACTATAGTAAACTAAGCGAAAAGTTGCATAGTGGCTTATCCACATGGGGTTGGATAGAAATAGTGTCCCCCTCCCCTCTCCGATGGAAAGTAGTAGAATTGATACTTTGTGACGAAATAGTTACGAAATGTTATAAAATACATATCGGAACTAAGATAGAGTATTGAGCGAGTTATTTTTTCCGGTCATTTTCTTCCGGTCATTTTCATACTTGTTTTCTTGACATTTTGCGCAGAGTATTATGTGAAAACATTACTATATCTAATTTTGGTCAAAAGCAGCCTTCTTGAATTTTGTGTAAAAACTTTCTAAGTGCAATTGATCTTTCAGTTTTACAACTTGCAGTTCTATGAAGCTATTAAAATACGTCGAAAAGAATAATATTTCGTAACATTTTCTTCTCTTCACAGGGGAGACTATTTGTTGTCCAATCCCATGTATTCGTATTAGAAAATTAAGATGACTTCCTAATGCGCGTTGTGTCATAATACTTTATATTTTGACGTGAATGTCACAACGTGCACGAAAGGCCACATTAATTTGAATAAAACTATACTTTCTGAGATTGTAAAGTTCCTAAGATTACCTTTCATAACGATCGTCGAACGCGAGAACACGTTTGCATAAGTCGCAGCCGCACTTCGCCAAGACGTCTTCATATTCTCCGTATTGATAGATTATGATAAGATCTTCCAAATCTTCGTAAGTGCTTTGTGCGCTGTCGTCGCCGTTTGCCTTCTCGTTCTTCTCGACCGCGTGCTTCACCATACAACCGATCATGTGATGCAAACAATTTGTAATTCCATCGCAGGTGCTATGATAGGCTAACATTTGCTTTATAAATTTCTCGTCTCTCCAATCTGAAAGTGTTTCGGTCCAGTCGTTCTTCATTTGGCTCAGAGCGACAACTAATCGTTTGTCCAGAATTTTCCACGAGTTCATCATTACCCAGAATAGATCTATCTCAGTGCTTTTTGGAGCGTTGTCCTTTCGCGTTTTACACAGGTCTTGTATCATGCTGACCGTTTTTATGTCTTTATTGTTCTGGTGCTGAGTGAGAAGTGTTTGGCGCGGCTCAGGCCGTTCGGCGGTTTGCACTGTCGAAGGATCAGTTTCTGCTTGCGATAGAGTAGTAGTAGTTGTCGCAGATCTCTTGGGGGGGGGGGGGGGCCTT